ACTGGGACCTTTGTTGTGCTTTCATTTTCTTTACTTAGCTTCTACAAAAATGTTTTGCCTATCCTATCATAAATATGGTAATGGTGATATCAAAAGGAGGTGGTTTAGGACATTTAATTTTCTAAATTATGCTGCTGCCTGGTTTTGTAATTTATCCTAGACCAGACCCTTCAAAAGCTGATTTCCTACTTTAGACCAGCCCAATTATTACTAATGATGGGCTTCTTTACCAAATGGAAAGACTAATAGCCCTTTGAACTGTTATGCAATTCCATTGTAGTTTGTTAGTGTGAACACCTTATAGTGTTTCTGCATCTCCCCAAGTGTTTATGATTCCTTAAATTATACTCTTTTGTGAGATTCCCCCCCCCCCAGGTCTCCCCTGTTACAATCCCTTGGACAAGGCAGTTGTTATTTAGTAGGGTAGGAATAATTTTTTGAGACACCTAATAAACACTGTGCACGTGCGTATTGAGGGTTTTTGTTTTTGGTTTTGGTTTTGGTTTTGTTCTCTTTATTCTCTTCCTCTGCCTTCTTCTCCTCTGCCACTGCTGCCTCCTCTCCCCTCACCCCTTTAATCCTTGGGCGGTGCATTTTTGAGTACATAGTAGGTGCTCCGTAAGTACTTTTGAGTGATGTATTGACAACAAAATAAGTACTTTTTTTCCATCATGACCTTCCATTCCTAAAATGATACTCCTGAAAAGATAGCTCCTTAGTCTTAGAAATAGCAGTAATTACAACAAGGAGTCCTTACCACTCCTTAACTATTTAGCCTGCTTTTCATGGCAAGATTAGTTCAGATCTGTATTTGTGTATTTGTGGCACCGTTGTAGAAGGACATCTCTCCTGTCATCACTGCACAGCTGTTTACACAAAGCTCTTACACCTCTGCTTGACTCGAGTCACGCAGTGATTTCCAGAGTGCCATTTCCATCATTTTGCCCAGGGTCTTTTCCCCGTAATGGATTACCAGTTGCTCCCATGGTGTCAGCTAGGTGTCTCACTATCTTAACACCAGGAAGATGGAGACCTCAGCTTCCAAGAAGAGTCCTCTTCTTTTCTGGGAAGGAGAAGTAGACGTTATCCTTACAAGTATTTACAAATTACCATTTTAATATTTATTTACCGAATACTTAAATAGCTCTTACTGTGCCATAAGCATGTTAGCAAAATTTACTTTTTATGCTGGTAGAAAGCCTGTGATGTAGGTGTTACTATCCTTGGTTCATGGATGAAGAATCTGAAGCAGGCGGCTGAGTAGCTTGCCTAGGACCACACAGATTGAAAGTGGTGGGGCTAGGACTCAGACCTGGGCCATCTTGCTCCAGCGTGGATGCTTTTAACCACCAAGATAAGACTCTCCCATTAAAGGCCATTCTGCAGACAGGGATTATACATGGTCAAGAAATTTCTAAAAAATCAGATTGTCCCAAGATAGGCAAAGATTGCCACAGCACAACAAACTGCTTAAGGAGAAGGAAAATCAGTAGCAAATTGAGTAAAACTGTCTGATATTTAGACATAGAAAGTACATCTCTCCCTGGGAAAGGCCCATATGGAGATACCTTCTGAGGATGATAGTATTTCTGTAGCTGCATCTCTTGGATTAAAGTTGCTAGCTTATCTTTGCCTTCTTGCATTTTATAATAGACAATGAGGAGAGCCAGTATTCTGGCTGCGGAATCTTCTTAACCAGATCATTAGGGCATTTACTACATTCCACGTTACAGCAGGGGACAGTGTTGCCAAACTTTCTGCCACTAATGAAAGATTCCCCTTTCCTCCAGCTTCTAGTAACATTTGAAACATTCTTTTAAGCCCTAACAGCCTCCTCAGAGCCCTTCCCTACCACCTGGTCCCACTGATAGAGCCACATATTTTAGATTTTTTTTTTTTTTTAATGGCAACACCCTGCTTCCGGGTCCCAGGATCTCAGTTATCGAATGCTACAAATTTTAGTGCCTTCACACAGTAATGGTGGATTATTTTGCTTCTCTGCTCCATCTGGAGTCACTTGACTGGGTCCTCTCCACTTTCAAAATGGTTCACTCCAATGGCTGGCAGTTTGGTGCTGGCAGTTGGGAGCTCAGCCAGGGCTGTTGGGCAGTGAGTGACCTCAGTTCCTTTTTATAGACTGCTTGGAGTTCTTCGTGGCATGGGGGTAGCTGTGTTCGCAGAGTGAATGTCCCAAGGGCCAGGTGAAAGCGTGTCCCCTTCTATGACTTAGCCATAGCAGTCACATAACATCACTTCTGCCATAGTTTCAAGGAAAGGGCACCTTAATGGTGGTAGTTCTCAGTCTGTACAAAAAGAGCATGAGGCATAGGCGAAGGTGTAGTTACTTTTGGAGAGCATGGTCTCCCACAAAACAAGACTATCAGAAGATCCCCATACATAATATTCCTTTGTCTCAATCCCTTCTTTTTTCCTTAGCTAAGCAAATTCCAGTAACATGGTTTTTCTACTTTGTTGGATGGTATGTTTTCATTTAAGTGCGCATGTATACTCATACATGTTAACTTTGTCCTCACCTGCTTTTTTTGCCTGAACACATTGAGCTTATTCCTTTTATTAATGTTCTGTTTGAAAAGAACCTGCCATCTATTAGCAAAATCAGATTCTTTGTTTCGAAAAAAAAGAAGGTTCATATCTAACTCCTATTCTGGTTTGCATTTGCAGATCAAATACTGTAAGCATTTATTGAAAAATGACAATGATAATTTATTCCCTTCCTAATGGTAGCCCATGAAGGGTGGTGAAAAATAATTCAAAACAGGTTAGAAAATGATTTGCTGTTGACATGGGTGGGTTTTGGAATAAGTTGGCTGGTTTATCCCTTATGGACAAGCCTGTTAAGTATTTATTCATTCAACTAGTATTTATGGAGTATTGTGTCAGGCACTGGGCTTCCTTGGCAGCCAGAAGTGGTGTTGCCCTCATGGAACATGTGACATAGTGAGGAAAGTGGGCATTAATAGATAGTCACCAAATAAATGTAAAATCATAACCTTATTAAGTGCTGTCGTAGAAGAGAGCTCTAGAGTATCTGATGGGGAACCTGACTTTGTCAATCCTAATGAAGTGCTTTTTTAGCAAAGATTTGGACAATGGAGAAGACAAGTCTTGGCGGGAGACACGTGAGTGTGTATGTGTCACAGCCTCACATAGATCCCAGGGCAGATATCCGTAGATACCCATGCACCTGTTTTACAGGCATTTCCAGGAAAGCAGTAGCTTCTGCGATTCTGTCAAGAGACCATGTCTTAAGCAACTCTTGGAAAGCACATGTTCATACAGGCTTTTTACAGAGCAGTTTAAGGAGCCCTTTTCATTTATGGAGAATTACTTAATTTTGAATAATGGCGATTGCTACAAACAAGGACAGTTCAAGTAAGGGGTATAAAGTACTAAGGATAGCAGTGGTTTCCCATGTAGGGCCTGGGGACCCCTGGAGTTCCACAAGACCCCTTCCCCATCTGAGGTCAGAACAGTTTCCAGAATACTGAGACATTACCTGCCTTTTTCATGTTCCTTCTTTCATGAGTGTAAGTGGACTTTTCCAGAGACGAGATGATGTGAATTCAGCACAGCAGATTGAATGTAGAAGCGTATATGAGAACTCCACTATCATCTATTAAGCCAGCCTGTTAAGAACTTTGCAAAAATGTGAAAGAATGTCATTCTTCATATTGTTTTTCTAAACGTTGTTATTTTTGTGCCGGTGTTATTTATGGCAACGTGTAATGAGCTTATTTTTATCTTTTTTTAATGAATACCTGTTTCTAAAATTTGCTTTACCTCCTAATTATTGATAGATACAACCCACATAGATGGAAGTTCTTTTGGGTCCTTGATAAATTTTTTAAATGCCAAGAGGTTTTGAGACCAATAAGTTGTGAGAACCGCTGAAGTATGGCATTCTACCTGACTTTGAGCATATTACTTAATCTCTCTGAGACGCAAGGAGTCTGTAAAATGGGGATGATGATCAAAGTACTTCCCTCATAAAAGGATGAAACGAGTTAGGGTATGTCAAGAGCTTAGAAGAGTACGTGGCCCGGAGTAAGCGTTTGGCATGTGAGCTTTTGTTATTATTACCATTTAATATGGAAGCAGAATTTATGTGAATCCAAACACGACTGAGGCACTGCTGCTTCGAATTCTTGCCTGTGTTTGTGGTCATCTAAGTCGTTTTGGTAAAATACAGTGTTCCAAAGCGAAAGAAATTGGTTTTGTAATTTTTCTTTTGAGTGGCAGCAGCGGTTTTCATTGGCACATGGCCAGGGTGTGAGGTTTGAAGACACACGGCTTCAGAATAGTGTGGAGTGCTTTCTCCGCCTGCCTCCCTGCCCTCGCAGTCCAGGCCCTCATGCCCACAGCCAAGGTGTGCCATGTCCGGAATCCTGGCGAGCAGGTGCGCCGATGTTGTTTGAGAAAGCTCCCCAGAGATCATGCTATCTCTAGGCTCCAGTGTCCTGGATGGTGAGCTGGAAGGAGGGGCCACACTAGACAGCATTTCATTCAGCCCCCTTACTTTTCAGATGGAGGAACTTTGGCCCGGAGGGATGATTTGTTCATATGGACTCACTCAGCATATTAGAGGCATCCCAGGATGAAAACCAGCATTCTGATTTGTAATGGAAAGAATACCAGCCTTAGAATCAAAAGAACTGTTTTTAGTCTCTGCTGAAAAGCCTTTGGTGGTCATCTGACATTGAGCAGTTTACTCCCATCCTTAAGACTTTGAGTCCTTATATTTGTAACATAGAGATGAAAATATCTATCCTCCCAAGGTTGTGAAAAGCATCAAATAAGACCTCCCACAAAGGTACCCGGGATGTGTCCTCTCAGTAAGAAGTCTGTCTGATCCTTTGCATGTGAAGTCCACAGAGGGGCGCATCCCTCTGAAATAAACAGTTGTTTTCAAAACTGAAAAGCCTGCCTTAAATACTGTACTTTGTAGCTTTGTAACAGTTTCTTTTTTTCTGTCTTTTTAGGACAGCCCAGAAACTTACAGGACCTGTGCCGAATTAAAATTCGACAATGTATAGGCCTTCAAAACCTAAAGCTACTTGACGAACTACCAATTGCCAAGGTCATGAAAGACTACTTAAAACACAAATTTGATGATATCTGATGTACACAGAACTGTGAGCAAGATTAGGAGTTATATTCCAGATACTTAAAAGGCTTTTTGCCTTGCACAAAGTATATCCTATGCAATTTCTGATTTGCTGTGAAGTCAGAAAGCAGGTATACACTTTTAGGTTTTTTGTTTGTTTGGTTGGTTTTCATGGTAGGGGAGGGATTTTTTTTATATATATATATATAAACACACACACAAACACACACACACACACACACACACACACA